AGATTTTTAAATCGAAGAAAATTTTTGATTTCTCCCAAAATCTTAGGCTTTTTAGAAACAGAGCTTGGGCTTTTGAATTTGATTACAATATACGTTCAGCTTTTGAAATATTTGCAAGCCATGCCATGCCTCAATTTCCGCTATTTTTACCACTGTTTGCGATTTCTTATCTAAGTTTAAAAAACTATATTATTTCTTGCCTTCCAAATATATCATAGGATCCAAAAAAAATTATTTTTGAATGCTCTCCAATGCTAAAACATGGACTCACTCAAAGATACTATCGCAATGAGACATTCTTTTAGTAACATCGATTTCTCAAACTTAGACTACTTATTCAGGAGAATCCTTGTTGTTTACTAGGACAACATTTTCACATGGATTATTTGCCATTTCTCCAAAACTAGTTTAAAAATATTCAAAAAAAAATTGGATAGAAACCCACACAAACAAAATAGTGAAATAACGATGTTTTAACATGGGAGATAACATCTTGGAAAATATAGTCTCATACTATATCATTTGACCTCAAATTTTTTTGGGTATCGATTTTATATATATGACTCTTGGAAGGAAATTAATAACTTTTCAGGTTCGGATTTATTTTTCTTTCAAGACGACATGAAAGGATTAATTATGGGGTTAGAAATTTACACATAAATATCTCATCACTACATTCTGAATTGGAAGCAATTACATGGATCATGACATACGTGATCACACACTAGTAGATAACATTAGTTTTCACAAAAGACTCTCTAATCTAGTGGAGATGGTAAAGTGTAACTCGGTATTTTAATCCAACCATGTAAAACGATATAAAGACCCTTGTCATTAACAAGAGAAAGGGATCAATTTTTCACTTCTTGCTTAAGTTTTATCAAAACACTTCTCTCGAAACACCTAACCTATCCTTGTTTTCGTGAGACATAGTTTCTCCTTCCGGCCACTTCCGGTCACTTCTCCAGTCATACTTGACCCTTCTTCCTTGTTCAATAAAAAACACTCTTTTCTCCGTTACTCTCACCTTAGATATCTTTATAAACGTCTTGATACATTGTGAAGTATTTATCTCTGGCCCAACGTCACCACATATCTCTTTCCCATTTACCATTTCTTTAAATACTCTCCAGAACTCAACATCGTACTCTTTTTGTATTCTCATATTTTACTTGAGGGTCGAATATTCGTTAAAAATGTCTTATCATCATGTTTTCCGGACTTTAACGCATTTTGTTGTTTGTATAAGAGACTTGCCACTTAATGATTGGATTCACACAAAAAAAAAAATCCCTTAAACAATGATCCAATTGACTAAATTTATTACCATAGTTATTTGAGAATTAAATCTTGTAACCTAAGGTTAATTTGACTATTCACCATTGCATCATAAATTCATATTTAATGTTGAGTTTTGACTATTGACCAATAGATCATTTTAAGTTTAAGTAGGTTCGTTATTTTAGAGTTTGTTGAGATGATGATAGATTTTGGAAAATATAAACGGTAAAAGAAACAAATAATTATATTTTTACAAATTAATGTTGAGAATTGACTATTGACTGTTGCATCATTTCAAGTTAAGCAACCAAATGATGGATTTTTGAAAATGTGAACCGGATTTTAACCATAAAAACATAAGCAATTAATTTTCATAAATTCATATTCAAAACTGACTGTTGACTATAGCATCAAATTATAAGTTAAGCGTGTGGTTATTTTTGGCTTAGAGAAATGATAGATTTCTGAAAATATAAACCGGATTTTAGT